TGTGTCAACTTTATGAGTACCATAAAAGAACCCAAATATTATTTCATTGACTTTATTTTTCTGTTTTTAAATTTATTCCTTTACACTAATTTTTCCTTCCCATATCTACTTAGGTTATTATTATGGGTTTTGAGGTTCAAGTGTGGATTGTGGATTTGGGATATTTTCAATGTATACACAGATACTGTTATTAATTTCCATCTGAACATTATTATAGAGGCAACCCACAAATTTTTATATGGTACAATTTCAGTTTTTCTATCTTTCTATTATGTTTGTATGGCTTCTTTTTATTTGTCTTAGCTAAGACTTCCTCTGTAACCATAGATTACTTAAGCATGTATTTGACTTTCTTTTTCATTGTTATATTTTCTCATTTACTTTTACATACCGACCACAGTTTCCCTTCTCTCTTCTCCTCCAGTTCCTTCCCCATGGCAGGCCTCCCATGGGAGTCAACAAAGTATGGCATATCAAGTTGAGGCAGGACATAACTCCTCCCCCTGCATCAAGTTTGGGCAAGGCATCCCACCATAGGGAATGGGTTCCCAATAGGCAGCTCAAGTACCAGAGACTGGTCCTGATCATACTGCGAGGAGTCCCACAAATGACCAAGCTACACAGCTGTAATATACATGTAGAGGGACTAAGTTGGTTCCATACAAGCTTCCTAGCTGTAGGTCCTGTTAGCTTCCAAGAGCTCAGGTCAGCTGTCTCTGCAGGTTCCTCAGTCATGGCCTTGACCCCACTGACTGGTACAATCCCTCATCCCCTTCTTCAACAGGACTCTCAAGCTAGGCCCAGTTCTTGGTGTTTTCAAAGTATTTGGAAACAGCTTAGTACTTTCATATCAATTGATGTCTAGTTTGAGAGCATTTTAGCAAAATAAATAAATAAATAAAACAAAAACCACACTGGGAAGTGATGCTGCATGTCTTTTTTAATCCCAGCACTCCGGAGGCAGAGTCAGGTAGATGTCTATGAGTTCGAGGTCAGTCTGGTCTACAGAGTTAATTCCAGGACAGTTAGGGCTGTTACACAGAGACACCTTGTCTTGAAAAACAACAACAAAACCTTTGTGAAATCTTGGTCTAATGATGTACTCTTGAAACCCGAATAGTCAAAAAATAGAGGCAGAAGGATTATGAATTTGCAGACAGCTTAAGTGCATAGCAAGACTGTCTGAAATGAATAAATATTTAAACAAACAAATGTATCACCTCTGTGTGATTTCAGCTGTTAATATTTTGAGATTTATGTTATATATTTGTGTTTTTATTTCAACAGCTTTTTAGGTTAGTGTGAAATCAATGGTTTTCATCATGGATTCTTGTGTGTGTGTGTGCATGTCAGTGTGTAGCAGGCTTTCTTAGGCTGCCAGCCCCCAAATCATGACATAGAGAGTTACTATTAATTATGAAACTCAGCCTATAGCTTAGGCTTGTGACAATAGCTCTTATAATTTAAATTAACTCATTACTATTAATCTACATTTTGTCTTGTAGCTTTTTACCTCTCTTCCATCTTGTACCTCCTGTTTTGTGTCTGTCTCCTTTGGTGTTTCTCCCTCCCTTAGGTTCATCTCCTCTTTTTTCCTCTCTGCCTGGAAGTTCTGCCTAACAACCTCTTGCCTAGCTATTGGCCATTCAGCTTTTTATTAAACCAATCAGAAAGCTCCTTGGCAAAGACATATCTTCATAGTGTACAAAAAGATTATTCTACAACGTGTGTGTGTGTGTGTGTGTGTGTGTGTGTGTGTGTGTATGTGTGTGTGTGTGTGTGTGATTACACTTTGTTTTTATTTGTTTGCCTTCCTGAATACGCCCTCTTGTAACTCTCTTTCTTAGACTTGTCTTACACTATTCCTAGGATTTTGGGAAAATGGCATCAGGGCAATTTATTTTACCTTGGTGGCATCTAGGCTTCAGGTTTATATTTGTAAGTATGGGTTTGAATTTGACAACAGTTCTTTAGGTGATTTTTGACTATAGACAATGGCAGTGTCCCAACAATTACCATCCTTGTGGGCCATTGTTTTCCTGAACACATGACTAAGGGGACCTAACAAAAGCAAAGTTGAAGGAACTCACCAGCAAAAATCTTTAGTTCCTGGGCCTCCAATGTTCTTGCTATCTTCTCATCTTCTATTATAGCCTCCTGCTATCTCTTCAAGTCACAGTCTCCTGCTATCTGTTTTATTCTCTAGAGATATTGATATTCGGTAGAAGATTAGAAAACCCATGTTTATTCAATGTTCCTAAATGCAAATTTCTCCCTCAAATTTCTCCCTTTTCCTTTGTTTCTTTCTTTTGGAAATGGGAGGTCACCATTCAACTTCTCCATTAGTTTCTTTATGCAAGGTAAACATATAAAGTACTAGAAACCAATTAATGATTTTTTTATTGAAAGGGAAAGCTTTGGACTGAAACATTTCCATCTGTAATTTATATTTAATATGCTTTTACTTCCGTTCTTCAATTTCTTCCTGCTTGTTTCATGAAGAATCCCTCTGTAATGAATTTCCTTTGGATACTAGCTTCACTCTGTTTTGTAGTGAGCTTTTCTCACTTCAAAGTAGATACTGAATGACATCCCATGGGAGTCTTATCCATTTGGCTTATTGTTATTCCCCTGAGCCTACTGCAAGGCGTACCAAACACTACTGCTTAATTGCTGCAAAACAGAACAGTCACTAGGAATTTAAACTTTCCATTTTATATGTTTCCTACTTTGTGCAGTCTTACAACACAGGGGCTATAGATTTGCCATGGACAATTCTCCCCTCAACAACTCTTCAGGTGTGTGGTTAGGACTCTGACAAAATTTGCCCAGAATTTCTTCAGCCTAGGAAAAAGTAATTGCAAAGATTCAGCACATGTTTAAGGTCATGTTTCGATGTGTAGAACTGCATGCAATTTTCAATTACAGACAGGCAGGATACCATGACATTTCCCATATGTGCATGTGATACTCAGCCCCGCACCTCTGAAGTGACCTCATGAATAAGGAAATATCCCTTGAAGCCACGGATAGGAGGTTTCCTAGTTCTCTGACTTTCACCTTTAATGTTTAGGCAAGTCATGGTTTGAATTGTCAAGTATTATTTATAATGTATGTATTCCTGGCGAGGGTGCAGATCTATCTTTCGGATTAGGTACTGAGTGTAATGTTAGATGTCTTGCGAACATAATTTACTTTAGACATATAATCACTAGAAAATTTACAATGGAGTATGAAGATACAGATCTTTTAAATTGGGTTCTATCTTTGCCTTAAACACTAGCAAGGCTTACTCTCCTATTTGGCATTAGATCCTGCTTAAGGAAACACAGATTGAATTCACTCCACTTTTGTTAGAAAATATGGAAATGTTTGTACATGGGGACTCTCATTGCATGCTGGAATGGAATCTCACCAGGGAGGCAAAGTCAGTTTTATTGCCTAAGAGCTGTTGATACACTCGCTACACCTTTCAAAGACATCTTTCATGCCACACAGGCAAACCGTAGCCAGTGAGGGAACAGAAAGGCTCTTCTCACATGTGTCACTCGCAGCAAACTTGCAGAGCAGCTGTGCTAGGTAGTGATGGGGATTATCACAAGACCCAATTGCAGCCATTTGCCTGCTGGAAGAGACAAGCCAGCCTCTCAGGGGACCACTTTGTTGGAGATGGTAGCAATAATGCATCTCTGTTGCTAGTGGCCATGTAGTACAAAATTGGTGCTAGATAAAATCAGAAAGCAATAAAAATGCAAAAAAAAGAAAGAAAAAGAAAACTCTGAGGTTCTGTTTTGTTTTGAAGTCTTAAAGTGAGAGAGTAAAACAAATGTTCTGGGCTTGTATTCACGGTAAAGAAAACAGAGATGCCTTTAATGAAGAAAACTCACAGGGTGTTCAGTCTTCTCATTTGAGAGCCGTTTGGGTGTGTTGAGAAATAAAGTTGCAAAGTAGGCATGTTCAGACCTTTATTTGCTACTTTTGGTAGGAAAGATTCCCCCACGCCTCTCCTCCCCTAACTACAAGGCAGAGTTTTCTGTGCAAATGAAACAGGCGTTGCAAGAATTAGATTCACTTTGGACGACTCTTCACATTCCAAGTCATCACTGCGTTAGGCAGCACAATCCCATCTCTGGTTGATGGGCAGAAAAAGTGGGCAGCTTGCCAGGTAGACGTTACCATGACTCCCAGCCCCCAAAGGTGATGCGTTTTTCAGCTAATTCAATGAAGAGTGGGCTGAACTTTGGGTCTAAACGAGACAATAGCTGCCTTCGCAGTATCAGCAGAATGGTTGATGGGAATGCACTCACTCTACATTTGGCAGAGGATCACGTGACCTGACGACTGAGATTTTGTGATGGTGCCAACGGAGACTTGGAAGCAGCAGCGGGCCTGACTTTTTTCTTCTTTTCTAGCAAGGATCAGAAAATGGTGGATCTTAATACTTGACTTTAGCCAGACTCAGCAAGCAACTGAGCTATGAAGCACAACTTCGCCTTTATTCTGGGTTTTTGGCAGGCCACCAGGAGGCTGTCCCTTTCACGCCTGATAAATTCTGCTGCTTATCTCGAAAGAGAGAGAAAAAAAGGAAAATAATAATAGAATATTGAGGCATAGCAAGTGAATCCTAAAATTATATGTGCTTTCCCCCCTCCTCTTCTGACTGCTGCTGATTTTTTTAAAATTTTATGTTAATACCTTTTTTTTTTCGGTTACTGAAGAATCCAAGTAGTTGGGTTATTTATTTATGTATGTATTTGGTTTATAATGAACAGGCATTTGAACTGGTCGAACAGGACGACAGAGCAGTGAACATGAGATCATTTCAGCCGAGTAGCAAACTGGCACCCAGCCTTTTCACCCCTTCGGTTCGGGAGTCAAACGTGTGCAGTTCTCATTTCTCAAGTCAGCCCAGCCTGGAAGGATTCAGGGTCTCTCCCACCGTCTACCATTCTGCTGCCAGCTGATGGCAAGGATTGGTCCAGCTTCGGTGCAGTGCTTTGTGCCTGGAATACGGAGAAGGAAGAGAATGACGACAAGCCCTCCTTTGCTGAGAAATAGCAGGAGCCCCGAAGAAACAGCAAAAAGCCAAACAACACAAAAACCCAGAACTTCTCAGTACATGCAAGAGTGCTGAAAAATAATGATAATGATGAGATGCGCCTGCTTGAAAACAAAACAAACAAACAAACAAAAACTCAAACCAAAGCAAACCAAAAGCAGCAAACTTTGGCTTGTCTAACTCCTGAGACATCGGGCTTTGTAGAGCAGTTCTGAAGGCAACACCACCAAATGAGCCTTCTTTGTTTTTATTTCTTTGCTTTTTTATGGTTATTTCAAAAACTGTGGCCTAAGAGCAGTACGTTGCACTTGGTGAACCCGCACTTTCGTATCAGGTATAAGTTTTGTTGTTTGCTTTTATGCTTTCTGTTACATAAATCGGCGTCTTTGCACTTTCCATTTACTCTGATTAACTCACCACTCACTTTACACTGTGTTTCTTTCACTTTCTTACTCTAATCATTAGCATAGACACTAAACTGAAAAATAGAAAACTCTCTAGAAATATGCTCCTGCTCTTGTGCACGGACATTTTGGTGAGACAGCAGTGTGGTCTCTGTGATTGCTGTGTCCAGGTTTAATTTACGCAAAGTAAAGAGTTTAGAATTCAGTAGCATGGGAAGTCAAATCTTTTCTGTGACTCATAATTTGAAATGCAAAAGAAGAAACTTCTCTAAGTTCTGAAAAGAGATCTTGCTTGAAAAATGCGCCCAAATAATGTTAAACAAAATGAGTTTATGGGGAGTTACTTACAAGGATTGCAATAGAAGAGAAGTGGGGATAGGAAGGTCGTATTCTCAGTTGCTGCGTATACTCAGTTGCTAAGTACAAAATAGTTTGTTCCTTAATAATTCTACTTCTAAAAATACATGGAAAAAGAATTTGCCCTAGAGCAGTTGCAAAGTGTTGGAAGCTGCCCTTCACTGTTTCAGTGGAGAAAGTCTGTACAAACTTGTTTTAAGTGCAAGCTCAGGTGAACACATTGCATTCCTATTTTGTCTATTTGTAGAGGGAAATTGCTAAGCAAGTTAAACATTTTGTGACAAAATGTAGATTTTACTGGTTTGGTGGGAAAGGAGTAGATGATATACTCTATTACATTTTTATTAATTTTTTAATTAAAAATGTTCCTAAAAATGTAGGAAAAGATTCTGAAAAGAGAAAATGCTTTGGAATATGCAGTGTGTATCAAAGTTATAATCTTCATAGTAAGAATTAATATGGTAGTATAATACATGAGAAATAAAGTTTAGGAAAATTGTTATGCTTTTAAAATCATATTTTGTGATATCAGAAACAGGATAAACAAAGAGAAATACTATACAGCCGGCTAAGTCTGTCTTCTTTTTGGCTATTTGGCAAAGATTTATGAGGTGCTACACAGACCTTACATATAGATAACATTTGCATGAAATGTTTTGTTGACTTTATTGGTTATTGTTCACTAATTATTTAGAAAATACCTCTTGTTCCTCCAATGTGTTAGAGGAAAGCCAACTTTGAAAGGCTTAATTAATATTGAGAAACCTGTTTTCATGTTTCAAGATCCTTTAGTTTAAAAAACATTATTTTAAATGTTATTTTAGGAACCATTAATCTCCACACTCCTAATTATCTTATTAAGCTCCATGCCAAATCCAAACCCCTTTCAGCTTTCACTGCTCCATTGTGCAGAACCTAGGCTGCTTCCTTAAGAAACATCTCCTTTCACTTTCAGACTGTTACTGTGAAAGCAACGCCAACCAAAATGAACACATAAATGCAAGCTGAGAGTGTATTTCTGTGTCATATGAGTATCCTGGGGTGGGGCCCTCAGACTCTGCCAAGCCTTAAGAAAGATACTTTTAAGGGTTTCCCCCATTTTGACATTGTGCCGTCTTCTCGGCCATCTACTTTCTTTCTCCCAATCCAGTTCATACAGATGTTCCTCGTAGGTAGCAGTTGTCTGATATTTTCCTTTTGTGGTTCTTTTAGGGGAACATTTAAAGTGGATATGAGAAGAAAAGAAAATGACCATAGGAGAAAAATCATCTCAGGTAAAAAAAAAAAAAAGCAAAAAAAAAAAAATAAGGCATGAATGTAAAGTGTAATTAACGTACAATATTTTCAAGAGAAAATTACTCTGAGCTAGCAATTGGCATTTTCATTGATGGGGTTCCTTTCAAGAGGTCCAGAATGACTTGCCTTTGTGAACCTTTTTGTTTGGTTTGTGATCGATGCCCAGTTACCATCATTCTGAGTACATGTGTGTTTACTGACTCATACAGCACAGGTACAAGTTGGTTGAATAGGAAGCTATTTAATGAGAAAAAATATATTGTCAGTGGTTATACCATATAAAAGGAAGTACAGTCTGGGAGACAGGTATAAACTCGTGGCTTTCTTTTCAATCTTTTTCATATGTCTAATGAGACAATAAAGCCAAAGCAATAAAATCTACAACCAGTGTTTCCTCTTTTTTTCATGAAATGTATAATATATGATGAAATACTTTCACTAAAATTGAATGCATGATTGTTGATTATTTACTATAGTTTTAATAAATAGGAGAATGATTTGAAAATAAATAATGGTGAAAATTTATGTAGACCAAATTATCTGTATTAAACTCTATAAAATACATTCTATTTTTATTTATTTCAAAAAATGCCAAATCATGAAGTAATTACTATGCAGTATTATTTTTCACAATGAAGATATAATTAAGAAAAGCTAAGTCATTTTTTATATGACTGAAATGATTAACAATTGTGCAACTTATAATTTTGCGGCAGATGAGCTTAGAATTCTAAAAAGTGCATATAAGTGGTTTAATGTGTGCTCACTGGCTTCCTCCCTTACAGTCTGAAAGTTCACAAGATTAAGAATAATTTATTTCATTTCAACCTGTTGAACACAAGAGAGTTATAAACAATGTATGTTTTCTTTAAAGGATATAATTTTGGGGAAAAACAAATTTAAATATATTTTGTTGAAAGAGACTATATCATCTTTGATGTGGTACAAATGAATACAAGCAGTACAGGATAGCAAGAATTACACACTTATCATGTCATTGATTTTAGTTTTCAGATACAGTTTTTTCTATACTGTAAAGTCTAGTTTCGGGCCCCACCCCCCCGCACCACACACACACACACACACACACACACACACACACACACACACACACACGCACACACACACACGCGCGCGCGTGCACACACACACACACACACACACACGTATGTGTATATATTTAGGATTTGTAATTTTTGTGTTCTTTACCTAGTCAACCAAATCTCATTTGTTTTACAAAAGCTATAATGTTCTATACATCCTTAAAATCATAACTAAGATTTTATGTGAATAAATACAAGGACTCTAATGCATATAAAATTAATTTAATAATTAATTTATTTTTAATTGTAGACTCATAGCACTACATCCATGTCTTAAAATAGTATAATTTATATATCCATATATGAATTCTTAATTAGAACAGTTTAACAACGTTAAAATATTCACAATTAAAACAAAAGCAATCTACAAAAAAGGGGGGGGAAATGAACTTGAAAAACTACTTTCTAATCCTCATGTTTATAAACCTGTGTTTAGTGGGTTTATGAAGGTCTTTAACTGGGAATATGCATCCTGAGAGTACAGCCTATAGAATATTTACACCAAAATATTAATATTATTTTCATCCCCTAATCTCATTAGATGTTTAGAACAAATGCTGCATTAGCAGAGTCCATGTGAGATGATGCCCGTTGACATAAACCCGTAGATCCGATCTTGTGGTGAAAGTGGACGCACAAGCTCGCTTCTATGGGTCTGTGGCAGTGTGGTAATCTGACAAAATACCATATAGAGTGCGGGTCAATTCCATTCTCAGTACATTCCTGATAACACACCAGTTTTATTTTTTTTACATAGTCTTAAAACAATCATATTTGTTATTCATGTTATATACTAATCCTTGTGTTTCTTACAAGGCAAACTTTAATTGTTGGTTTTCTGGAATTATTTGTAGCACAGCCATTCCAGGCTGAATTCAAGTGCAATAAACTGCTTTCAAAAGATTGGTGTTTTTTTAATAGCTGGCTTTGAGCAAGACCGAAATAGCTGTTGCTGAGAAACTTCAGCACATTGTCTGTTAGTTAATGCACCTTGTCCACTTCCACAGCAGAGCAAAGTCTATAGGCAGATTTTTATGTTGCTATTGAGCTTGTTTCTCTTCAAAATTGAGGCCTAATGTTACTGACTTTTAAATTTACTCACTGCTAGTGAAGTGTGGCAAACAAGACGGTCAGAAAGTGGTTTATGTTACCTATACCACAAACACAAGAGATTAGGGTAGTGCCGTAAGGTACAATTGAAGTTGACTGGTAAACCGCTAGAATATTCCATCGACAGCCTTGCCAAGCCCTTAGGTATTTGGCCGCCATATTTGGAGGAGCTGACTGAAGATATGATAAGGAGTTTGAAGCCACATTGGAAGCTGTGTGCATCCGGGTTGAGGTAGTAGGTTGTATGGTTTAGAGTTACACCCTGGGAGTTAACTGTACAACCTTCTAGCTTTCCTTGGAGCACACTTGAGCCATCGAGGAATTCTTCAACTCTTTAATCTGACTAAGCCAATTTCTGTGCAAGAAAGTAATGTGTCATGAGTATGGGAGGCCTCGATGTATTGAAATTATCACTTCAGACCTGCTTATGAAGATATTTTGCCTGTGTCTACTTATAAACAATGACACAATACTACCAATAATGGGTTGTTAATTTGGGTTGACCGTTCTAAAGAACTGATGGATAGTGAATTAAGTAGCATTAATATCGACATTTTGGATTTTTCATTAATGGTTTCACAAAATTTGACATTTAGTTTTGAAATGGATCATTGGTCTGTTTTTAATCCATGCTTAGAGACTACAGAAAGACTGTCTGTGGATGTTAATAAATTCCATAGTATATTATCTAAGTTTTCTCATGACCCATCACTTTCTAACTTATGTTATAGCTATCAGTCTGCTTATTTATATTTTCCATACTAGACTGTAAGCCCCTTGAGGGCAAAGTCCATGCTTTATTTTTCATGTATTCTTTTAATGCTTATACATCTTAAACAGTAAATATATGGAGGATGAATAAATGGGCTATAAGATTTCAGCCTCTAAAGAGTTTCTAAATTTGAGTTTCGTTTATTGGTCCAAAAATTTTTATAACTTATTTCCAGATTCTTCTAAGTCAGTAATATCTTGATTGTTTTATGGATTTGATTTACTCTATACATGCAGTTTAAAAATTTGGGACTAGCTTTTCTCTGGAATAAATAGTAGAATGAATTTTTTCTTACTAATTGCTTCATCTCAGTTTGTATATAATCTTAGCTTTAAATAATGCATATTTGTATTAACCATTTACATATCTTTTTCCAGATCAATTGTTTTTATTTTTAAAATCAATTCCAACTATAGGTCATGCCAAAAGTCTCATTTGATGACTTAAAACAATCACAGTTTTTTATTTTATATAATTTTCTTTTCTTCTATACTGTCATTTGTTTTTCATACAACTGAGCTTTATCTGTTAGGAACCTTACAAATATGTCATAAAATTTATAATAGACAAAGATATAAAATGGAATTTTAAAATCTGGAAATATTTTTGTTTAAAGGAAAGTCATTTTCTATATCATGTTATAAAAACAAATGATGCTTTTTAGAATATTTTTGTTTGCTGTTTATTTTTGTGGCTTCTAGTGTTGCAGTGTTACTCATTTCATTTTGCATATATCATCTTTCAACACTAAATTTAAGTTACATTTGACATTAAAACTTTAATTTACAACTAAAAATATCTCAATAAATAATGGAAAATATCCTTTAAATTGTACATTTGTTTATATATGTGTGTGTATGGATGGCTTTGTGATCATTAATTTTTTAGAATAGAATACTCAGGCATCCAAATATTTTGTTACTTTAAAATTGCCAATAATGACAATAAGCAATGAACTTCCTATATACAGAATATATGAGCTTTACAAACTGAGCACCAATAATTTCAACCATTATTTTTTGACATGTGGTTTGCCTAAGAACCAAGGCTGCTCTGGGCCTTGCTATGTTGCTCAGTATAAATTTGAACTGGTGGCTCTCCTGCCTCCGCTTTCTGAATGATGGAATTATGGACATAATAAACCTGACCAAAATTATTATTGCACATAAACAATATTACTAGTGTCTCTGAAAAAAATCATTTCAAGGTCTGTCCCCCAAAAGCAAGGCTTCAAGAAATAATTGGGAAATTAGCTTTTAGAAAATCAAAAAGAAAAGAAATTAGGAGTAGTATGTCCTGTGGTGCTGGTTGAGCACAACAATGAGACAAATGGACTAGAAAGTAGTCAGCTAGTATATGTCTGTCATGGTTTAGACCTTAAGAACCTAGTATCCATTTCATTTGTGTTTGTATATATTTATTTACCTCAATACTGATTGTATAGGTTTGGAGGCCACCTGATATGTACATTGAAAGGATCAGATACATACTATTGCAGAGGAAGTCATGTTTTCCTTTCAACAAAGGAGAGCTAAGTGTACTACAGAGGCCAACTATGAGATATAATGATAGTATGCTATAAAATACTACAAGAGGGGGTGAGGCAGATGGCTCAGCCATTATTACTCTTGCTGACCTTGCAGAGGACCTGTGTTTAGTTTCCAGCACACCCTTGGGTAGTTCACAACCCCTGTAACTCTAGCTATAGGAGATGTAATACCCTCTTCACACCTCTGTGAGCCTCTGTACACATATTACATGTGTGCGTGCACACGCATGAGCACACACACACACACGTGCACGCACACACACATACACACACACACATTACCGTATCAGATTAGAGAATTATGATGTCGTGCCTGCACTTTTTAAAGGAAGATGAAGTTGTAACTCATTTGTTGCAGAAGCAACAAAAATTCTGCAGAGCAGGTGGCATAGCATCAATGAATAAGAGTTTTAAAATGCCATAGGTTGATAAAGCCAAGTCTGATAATTATATATGCCTTTGACTGTGATAAATTTTGCCAAGCCAACCCGATGGCTGCTACAATTACTGTATATATTTGGATAAAAATAAATAGCAAATATAAATATAAAAGTTAACAAGATTAATTTGAAAGATAACAAGGTCTAAGAGCATTGACGATGTGAGTTTGCAACAGGTAGAATACATGCTCAACTGGAAGGAAAACATACTACATGCTGAAGACTGGCATGCAGTTGCACAAGATCAGCGATCCAAATTGAATCATTTCCTGAGGTTGCATGTTTTACTCTATGCTAAGGGCTGTACATTTTATATCAGATGAAATGCTGATCACAACACAAACATTCTATTATTAATGAATCATACTTTACATATATATATTTTGTGGCAGTGTGCTGTATGTTTATATTCATAGTGGTTGATTTAATTTATTTTGTAAATATACTTTGATAGTATTTGAAATGCTCTTTGCCTTCTCTTGTCATCTCTGATTTACTTTCAATTCTTCATAGCTTATGACATTAAAGTAAAATGGGAGGAGCGTAAATAAAACAACAACCCAGTATAAGCAGTAAATTGAGCCTTGGTTAAAAAAAGAAAAAAAAAAAAAAGAAAACAACCAAGTTCATAATATTGTGACTTCACAGTATTGTGAACTACATTGACCAAAAATCTATGAAGGAATCAGATAAATTACCCAGAATGTGTCTGTTTTAAAACAGTTCAGCAGTACATAAACTGTGCTATTAGAATATGTGAGTCATTTTCTATAAATAATTGTTTAGTTACTCCTGCTTCCCATTACCAAGCACTGACTCATAAGCGGAGGTAATTCCCCGAACAATGGGACACAGAGTCTCTTACCCTGGGCCTTAAACTCACGCCTCACTCTTCCTCCTGAGTACATACCACTTACTGATGTAGGGGTAACTGACTCCTGATTATACATTTTTTCCCCCTGATGAAACCCATTTAGTTTCATTGTGAAAGGTCTCCATTTGAGGCTAGTGGCTGCCCACAAACATTTTATTTTGTACTTTAATCTCTACTCAATAAACAAAACAACTACTCTTATAACAAGATACTATCATGTTCATCCACCAAACCTTTTCTGATTCAGGAAGAAAGGCTGATTCTGTTTTGATTTCCCCACAGAAATTACTCTGAGTTCCATTAATAATATGTACCCGAAGGGGTTGTGACTTGCCTTTGTACTTTCTGGTATATACTTAGAAAGAAACACATTTGTGTTGAATCAATGCCTGTTGTATTGTATTGAACTTTGGGTTATTTATGGGTTGTACGGGGAACCTCTGTATAAAATTATAATAAGTTTTGTTTCAGTGTAAAGCATTATGTTTTCCAAGATACTTGGAAATGTATTACTATCCTACTGTGGGCATTCTAATGGCATCTGACAGGTCTGTAGTCTACTCTTAATTAAATCTATGGTCTAATGTTTAAAGGTGATTTATGAAATTAACTAATCACTATTTATAATGAGTGCAAAACTCCTGTACACAGACATCCGTTTCTTTTACAACTCACACCTCTTTCTGTATCATTGGGTTTTAAAATAGGTTCAAGTACTCCTTGGTGAATTAAAAAATGAATCAATGAAATAAAAATATTCTGACTTAGAAGAGTAATTGTAAATCCCAGAAGACTTACACAGAGCTTTCAATTTCAGTATAAGGGACATTGGGAATATCACTTCACTTTTAAAATGCTTGTAGGCTGACCTTAAGTGTTGTACCCTTTCTTCATCCATACATGATTTCATCCTCATCTTATT